AAGAGGGAAAGGAAGCCAAAGGCACCACGAGGTGTTCAGCTGCAGAGGAGGCAAAGGGAAAACAGGGGAAGCCAACAGAGAGATGAAGAAAGAACAGGTCCGGATTCGAGACCTGCGCCCATTCGGCAATAGACCGGTGACGGGTGTTACTACTGTATGTCTCTGTAGAATTCTTACTGTGCATCAGCAACAGTGAACAGTGATCATGACAAAGTAAACTCCCGTACAAGTTACCAAAAAAAGATTTCCAAAGGTGTGTTAAAATGACAGGTATTCATAGCTCATAATATCATTTTGTTTTCATTACAGTTTACCTGAAAATTTACTGCAGTAAAATATTTCATCAAGGAGACGCTGTCACAGTTACAATTAGCAGGTTTGCTAGTATTTTTTTTAGGGGGGGAGGGAATCTTTAGAGCGTAACGGCTCACGTCTTGGATGTCCCTCTGATTTTTATCTTATACTCATAATTGAAAATAGCTTTTCTTCCAGCACACAATGCTAGGGCACTATATAATTAGTGTGAGAGAACAGCAGAGAGGACTAATATTATATTAGGCACACTCTAGTTCAAATGCACAGCTTGCCAAAGATGAAATCCAGATTATTTGAAGACCTTGTTAACATAAGTGACTTTTTCTCCACCACTTATTACTTGAGCACACAACACAGCCAGCACTGCTGCTGGTAGAGTTTGGCAAGATACTGTATCTTAAGGCACAATGAAGATGTAAAGAAGATGCCTGGGTCTTTGTTTATGGAATTATTTCCCGACATAAATTATCATAAAACCATAATGCATGATAGTTTAGACAAAATAGGCTTTTAGGAAGGTCCCACTTCCCTGCACCCCTACTGTTTTGTATAACTCTGTTAAGGCACTTTTCAGCGATGCTTTGAAAGATTCAAGGCAAGTAAGGTGAATGTGTGCATTTCACCACATTTTGAGACACTGGCTCACAGAAACATTTGTCCTGCTGAGTTAAAGCCTTAAGACGTACCTCTCAGCATCTGCAGCATCTCAGGAAACGAGATAAATAATGAAAAACAAGTGAAGGAGTACATCAGTCTGAAGTACAATGTAACCAGCTCGACAGCCATAGAGAGATAGGGAAATGCTGAATGCAGGATGTATTAAAAGTCTGACATGTTTTAGAGCTCATGTAACAACTCTGGGAGTAAATGAAGAAATAAGCCATTGCTGGGTAGCTGTGTGATGTAGTGATTAAGGTCCCTGCAGTTATAACTAGAAGGCTGTGGGTTCCAGCAAAGGCACTTAGCTTAAACTGCTTTAGAAACAATGCCCAGTGGTAGACAGGGGTATGCATTTAAGAAGCTACTTTGGGCCTTCATACTTTTAGTGTTACACTCACACTGAAAGTGCAACTTAATTTACATATTTAACCAAAACAATACAGTCTTGTATAACAATTCTGTGTTAATTAATTATTGACCTAGACCACTGTATCCTTAACTCTTTTCTAAGGCACACAAGGACTTTAACAAAATGCTATAGAAGAGGACCATTTCCAGACAGCTGCCACATTATATAATAACTTGACATCTTTGCCCCACTCGCTTGCCTTACGCAATGCAAACGATTTAGGGCACATAACAATTTTAGCACAGCCTACGCCACTTCACGCAAGACAGACATTGCCATCGATCTTGGATTCAAGAAACTGTTCAGCTTGAAGACTGACTTCTGAGCTTGACTAATTCAGGAGCACTTTCATTCCCTGCAGGGCGCGGACCGAGGGACAGTGTGGTTGGCGTTGAGCGGGGGTGTTTAACTACTACTACTTGGTTTCATAAATTCTGTTTAAAATAGATTCTGGGCGTCCTTCTCCTTCCCATCCTTTTAGATGACCGCTCAGTCTCCGTTCCAGACAGAGGGGATTTTGGACGATAACGCTATCGCCTGCTGAACAAGTCTTGGGGAAGGCCGGCTGCTCTATGATGCACAAGGCTGGGAAGAGCATACGAGCAGCAGAATCCTAGAGCTCAGCCACAGAGCAGCCACCAGCAGGCTGGGAAGCTGGCCCTGAATGGCACAGATGTTCCTGCAGGAGTACTCTATCCTCGGGGCTTTTCTTGTGCCAGGCATGGGAGCTGATTGGTTGGCTTCTCACAAGACTGCCTAGCAAGTGGCATTCAGAAGAGGATGTTGGCCTAGACACACGACCCCCCCCTGACAGGCAATGTGAAACATGTGGAAGTGCATTTAAAGCTGAGAGCAAAAGCTCTTGTTTACCCAAAGGGTTGTAGGAGTGTGGAACAAGCTATCACGCCATGATGTTGAAGCAGATATCCTGGTGTCTTTCAAGAAACCGCTGTATAAGATCTTGTGATCAATTAACTACTAACTACCAAAAGGGTAAGACAGGTCAAATGGCCTCCTCTCGTTTTCAACAGTTCTCATGAAAGAAAGTTAACAGCTTTGACACTCTGTGCTACAAGACTGAAACGAGGCTTTCAAGAAACTTGAAAGGAAGAGAACAGAAAGGAAATAAAAGACAGAACAGAAACGAAACCACCACACACTGTACTGAGGTTATGAAATGAATGAGGCCAAGTCGAAAGAGTCATGTCAAAAGCCACAAATAGCTGTAGCCCAACAAAAACCTTCTACAAATCACACGTCTTTGACAGTTCAGAGCCTCACTATATGAAGTACAGAAAACAAAAAGATGTAGTTAGATACAGTTAGGTAAAGCGAGGTGGTAATACAATCAAATTTTGTAATGAAAGACATACAAAATGTCAGATCTATGAATGTATTAATATTATATAGCAATATTACACAATATTGAGAAGTACAATATATGTAATATGACAGATACGACAAGCACAATGTCTATTCAAAGACACAATAAAGACAATTTAGTCTTTTACAGCTGATCGAGTGTTTTATTTTAACAAAGATGTGATGGTTATTTACTGTCATACCGATGCCTGATAGGGTCATATTCCTGTGGTTTTAATCTAAACTGTGACAATATTTTGCAGCCGTTTCTTCTTTTTGTATAATTATTTCTGGACGCCACTGCCTGGTGACAGCTACAGACTGTTAGCTTATTAGTGTGCACAGTACAGAACTAAAGGTCTGTCCATTAGCAGAAGAATTATATGTAATCTCCAAAACGCACAGAGATAATTAATTAATTTCACTGCAGCTGCAAAATGCGACTGTGACTTTTGTAAGACATAAAATGTAGAGATAAGAAATTTAAAATCTCATCAGCCATTTTCAGTGCAGAACAGAGCAATCCACGGATATGCACTGTGGGGAAGGGGCACATTGCAGAATCCCATTAACTAATACAAGATAATTGCCCTGAGTAAGCTAAATAATTTTAACTTGGACATCAGTCAAGACACTATGCACCATATGGCAGCTACAAACAAAAACAGATACATCTCCAGTGCCTGTCTGTGTGACCATGTCTCTTTGAATAAAGGCAGAGGAGGGTTGCTGGGATGGAGCACCTTTTCTTTATTCCTTGCCTGGGATTGTATAATTACAACTCACCGTTTTATACTGATTAGGAAGAACAGGCGCTCGATTGCTTTCCCACCTTGCATGGAGAGGTTTAAAACCAGAGATCATTCAGAAGAAAGAACCTTAGTTCAATTTACAACTGCAAGTTTAAAATTAATCAGGCCAGCAGATAGGGACTTTAAGGTAAACACTGTAAGCCAAATTCCTCTCCTCTGAAATTACATTCACCTTGCAAATCACCCTAAGTGCTTTAATAAAAATCATAAAGTGGTTAATGATCTATATTTAAACCAACTTGCAACAGAGTAAATGCCAATGAATACAAGTTCTTCACACACTGAGGAAATCTATTATGCTTCCACAGTGCTGCTCTGGATCCAGCTCAAAGAGGATCAGCTGGGTTAATCCCTGGCCTTAAATGAATGTCGTAGACAGACAGACGAAAGGAAATGAATCTTCTGAGCAGAGAACATCGCAAGGAGACTTGACACTAGAGAGAGAAATCCTGACAGATAAGGGATAAAGTCAACTCAGACGGCCACTTCAGGGGCGACAGTATAACAAGCACCTGGGGGGACACAGTTTGTGTATTCTTTACACAAAGGGTTGTGGGTGTCTGGAACAAACTACCCATCTTGCTGAAGATGATTCTCTCTGATCCCGCAAAAACAGCTAGAACAAGATCCTTAGAGAACAAGTTACAAGCAACCAAATTAGTCAAACGGGCCAAATTTCCTCTGCATATGCAACTCTACCTTCTTGTGTCCCTCCTCCGAAAACTGCAAAAGCCTCATCCTGTTTCAGTATCTAAATTTGAAATCTGCATTATTGTTTCTTAAACATGTCAGAAAACGCTGGCATTAATCTTTTGATAAATTGTTTTCATTCATCCTTGTTCTTCTCCAGCATAGGGTAACTTTTAATAGATACAGCTGGTTCTTTGGTCGGTGAATGTCTTGATCCATCCAAAACCTTCCTAAAACAGCCGGATCATAACAGTAACAGAATGCCTATCTTCTGTGCTTCTGGGCAGTGGTATTTCTCAAACTCCAGTTGGCATTGTGTTATAAATTTAACATGATTCTACTTTAAGAAGACCTAACCTCGAAGTACCTAGAATAGGTTTAACAGGAGAAGGGGAATTGCATTATTTTTATTAATTATTATACCTAGACCTCATTTAAGGAAGGCAGGGGTTGCACTGCTTTGTGAAAAAAATCATTTAACGGTTGAAGTATTGCTGTGAACATATTCCTTAGTAATTATACAGATTAACTGATTTACAGTAAAATGGATACAGCTTTTTAGACAGCACATAATTTCATTTGTTTTTAAAAAAATCATCCCAGAGCTGATTAAAAAAGATTTATCCATAAATAAATGTGTTTTACAAATGACAACAGTATGCGAACAGCCAAATATTTCCTTAAGCCAACACTGAAAGCTGTTGCTCCCACAGAGAGAAACACAACGGAGAAAAGAAGACAAACGCGCTCACCACTTGTCCATTCTGTGGGTTCTTGTGTGCATAGGGCGGGCCACGAATATGATTCCACATCTGCCCAGATGTCATAGCAAAAACCACACACTGGGAAAAAAAGACCGAAGAAACAGTGACTCACCAACACATTCCACCTGGTTCCTACAGCAGGTGTTTGTTCTTTCATTTGCTTATTTCTTATGTTCTAAATGCTGCAAGAAAACTTCTTGTTGTCAATTTCACAATAAAAATTCAGAGTAGCGTTTAAGTTTCTCGCTTATTTTTCCACCTATTCAGAAACCTGTGAGTGCACAGAACTGAGGAATGGCTGAGGTCCTCAGCTCTCAACACCGAGCTGAACCCTGTTTCCCCTTCATTGAATTGAACCAGGAAGTCATTCAAGAGGTTCAGCTCAGAAGGAGTGTGGTCAGCTTCCAGATGAAAACTCGATATTGGAAGTTAACCCGATCCACATTCCTAATTTCTGGAGACACTGAAGCGGTGACAGGACCGGTGGCTCTGTGGCCCAGGATCTGCGCCTGTGGCTGGAAGGCTGCTGGTGCAAATCCCGCAGCCAGCAGAGGAATCCTACACCGTTGGGCCCCTGAGCAAGGCCCTTAACCCCAACTTCTCCAGGTGCGCCGTATAAACGGCTGACCCTGTGCTCTGACCCCAGGCTTCTCTCCCTGTCTGTGTGTCTCATAGAGAGCAAGTTGGGGTCTGCGAAAAGACAAATTCCTAATGCAAGAAATTGTATAGGGCCAATAAAGTGATGTTGTGTGATGTTATGTCTGGATGGCTTTCACAGTGGTTTTCTGCCTGTGCTCAGTCCTGGCTTTGTTTGGAGTGTGACGGACAGCACCTACTTACCAGAGCAGCCATGGCCCATCCCGTCTTGTTATAGATAAACTCCAAGTTATTTCTCCTCAAGTAAAGCAAACCTCCCACCAGAGACACCAGAAGAGCCAGTGCAATAGTCCCCGAATAATTTGGGGGCCTAAAAACCCGGATCTGAAAAGAGGGAAAACAGAAGTAATCATGGCACTACTCTTCTCAGGGCAGAACACCCAATCCGAGGACGACTGTGGAAATACAGAGCAAACAGGCTACTTCAAATGTTCCAACCATCCTTTCTAACAGCAAACACACCAGGCACCATGTCCCAAATTATTAATTTAGTCAGATCGTCTCCCAGAGTGCATACAGTATACATGCATGATTATCTGTCCATGTGCTGCCTACCTTAAAATTGCACAGGGGAAAAAAAGAGCATGTGTGAACATTTTACCATATTTGTATCAGGGCTCTGGTATAGCGTCAGGCTCTGTGAAAGTCTCAAGTCCTCTCGTTCCCTAGTTCCCTGCATGGTGCTTGCTTTTGATCCTCCACCCTGCTTCGTCTTGACTTTGTTTCTTGGAGCGCCCTCGGTGCCTAGTATGGCTGTTCCCCAGCTATGCACCTGCGAGGGCTTTGGTTTACTCCTCCAGGCTGTGTTTCCCTGTACTTCTGCTCGTCTACCTGGTGCCTGGCTGAGAACCCTGCTGCGTTGTTCTGTATGTGTGTGTGTGTGCTACCCACTCTGCCTGGTCCCTGTGTGTGTGTTTGCTACCCACTCTGCCTGATACCTGTTTGTGTGTGCTACCCACTCTGCCTGATACCTGTGTGTGTGTGTGTGCTACCCACACTGCCTGGTCCCTGTGTGTGTGTGTGCTACCCACACTGCCTGGTCCCTGTGTGTGTGTGTGCTACCCACACTGCCTGGTCCCTGTGTGTGTGTGTGTGTGCTACCCACACTGCCTGGTCCCT